TCACCATGATATTAATACAGCTTTTCTGTACGGATCTCTAGATGAATCACTTTATATGCTTCCACCTGATGGCGTACAGGTAAAACAGGGATTTGTTTGTGCTCTGAAGAAATCCCTTTATGGTCTCAAACAAAGTGCACGGTGTTGGCACACAAAACTCACTGAAGTATTGTTTTCTCTAGGTTTTCAGCAAGGAAAGCTGATCCATGTGTATTTGTCAAAGAGGAGGGGCAAAAGAAACTGTACTGTTTGTTTTATGTTGATGATTTATTATTCTTTTGGAAAGATGTCGCAATGTACAATAACGCCCTAGCTCAACTGAAAGAGCACTTTGACATGAAAGATCTTGGTGAGGTAAACAACTACCTATCTCTGGAAATAGAGAGAGATCAAGATGGTAACATTCTAGTACACCAGTCACGGAAAATTGCTGATGTGTTAAGCAAACTAAATCTGATGGATGCTAACCCTGTAGACACACCGATGACAACAGGTTATCAGGTAGATGACACTGAAGAAGCATTTTCTGACACTACACTGTACAGGAGTGTGCTAGGCAAGCTAAACTTCATTGCCAGATGTTCAAGACCAGACATTGCTGTTAGCTGTAATTTGCTAAGCAGACAAGTCAACAATCCTAGTGTCAAGGATTGGAAAGCTCTGAAACGCATAGCGCGGTATTTGAAAGGCACTATGCATTACAGACTGAGATTTAACAATCAGAAGTCTGGTGGTCTTGAGATATTTGCAGATGCAAGTTTTGGAAGTGACGCTACAGACAGGAAAAGTACGTCTGGAGTTTGCTATATGTACAATCAGGGTCTGTTTGATTGGTCATGCAAGAAGCAAACAACAGTTAGCTTAAGTACTTGTGAAGCTGAACTGAATGCACTGTCTTATTCACTTAAGGATTGTGAATGGTTAGTACAATTGTGCAAAGATATGAAAATTCCTGTCAAATGTCCAATCCAGGTTTACCAGGACAACAAAGCATGTTTGGCTTTGCTGAAGTCTGAAGGTTGTAAGCAAAGCACAAAGCACTTGCAATTAAAGTTGCAGCATGCTAGGGAATGTATTCAGAAGGGACTCGTAACGGTGTCCTATATGCCAGGTAATGAAATTCCTGCTGATGTATTGTCCAAGATTGTATCAAGGGATCAACACTGTACCTATGTGCAGAAGTTGGGTTTGTACTGATATTGTACGAACACGCTGCCCAGTGATGTTCACAGAAAGGGGAGGATGTTGGTTTCTATTTCCCTCACTGAGCAGCAACTGCAGTCACAAGACATTGTTTTGCATTCCACAGTCAGAGTTACTGTTGGAGTTTCTCACGGGAAAGGGAGACTGGATGTGACGTACACTGGTTTCCTGTTTTTCACTCTGTGTGTGATTCTCTCCAAGCTGTTGAGGAGAGAGGATGCATTTTTCTGCTCTTGCAGAGACAAGATGTCTTTCTGTAATATACCAGCTTTGAACTGTAAATAAAGCAATACAGAGTATGTAGCACATTTTCCTCATCCTTCCGCTGGGCAACCAGACTCTGCTTTAAATCAACACTTCTGGACCTTTATCAGAAACTATCACAATATTTGCTCCATATCAGTTAAGCAGAAGTATGTTGTTCACAAGCATCTCTAGAGTAAGGCAACTGAGGTTTGTAACAGAGCACAGTCCTCTAGCCTTTTAATCGAGAATAATCTAGATTCAACTAGGCTTTAATATCAATTGATTTAAAATGTACACTGCTGTAATCACTCAGACTAACACATTAAATATAATCTTTAGTTTATAGTAGGAAAATTAGGTGCTGTGATTTACTCACCAGGAGCTTCAGGATTGTGTGGGCTATCATCTTCAAATAAAAACAATAGTTCTCATAATGCATACAGCAACCATTAAAAAAATTGAAACATTTGTAGCTATAGTTCCCTTGTATTCAAGAGAAGGCAATAAGCAGTCAACATGCTTGATAATAACGTGTATTTTCCATTTTCATCTTAGCACAGGCAATTCCATTTATGTAATAATGAAAAGCAAATCACCCACTGTCAAAATCCAAGTTACATTATGTCAGATTGTCCTATATTCTAATTTAAAAATTGCTTATGCTATTATAGGTTTACTGTGTGGTCAAAGCAAACATCTAACATGAAGAATGAAACAGAACTACCATTAAAGATATGAAGATTGAGATTTTGGAGTTAAAAAAGTATATGTATTATTTTAGAATATATACTGATCAAACTGAAAGGCACCATTGTTAATTACATCTTGACTTACCTAGCAATGCCAACTTTTACTCCATTTGCTATAATTAAAGGAATGCAGCTTCTCCAGAACAAAGTTCAGAGCTACATATGACCTCTCCAAGCAATGACTTTTTACAATACTAGGTTTGACGCTTCTTACAACCATCTCTGGCATGGTAGCCAATACTTGTGCCGGATTCTAGACAACCAAACATGGATCCAATTATGTTTAGTCCAAAAACAGAAATACACCTCTGAATGCATTGCATTTTGAAAACTAAGAGAAGCCAACACAAGCCAATGAAATCACCCACAAGAATATGCAACCCATTAGCTTCCTTTTGACCATCTCTCTGCATACAGCACTTAGGATGGAAAATCTGTGCCCTTACAGATATTTGCTGGACTACAACTGCTGTCAACTCTAACCATTAACCATGCTGACTGGGCCTGGTGCGAGTTGGAGTCCAGCAATATCTGGAAGTCCATAGGTTTCACATTCTTGACCTAGAAGAAAGTATGAGCAACAACAAGCACCTATAGGTGCCACAACAGCTGCAGCTTCCAGTGTACATGAAAAGGCATGGTGGTGGTTGAGGATAAACCCAAGGGGAAATATTTCAATAAAGGAACAGAAATAAATATGTACCTGGAACATCTATTTTAACCAGATGGTAGAAGCTTTGCTTTTTCTTAAGAACTATTGACTTAATTATCAACTTGACCCAAATAGGCAATTACTTTGAATGAAGCTGATTTAGATTTCAATGAGACCGAATATACTTAAATCAAATTGTTTTAAAACAGCTTTCTAGATCAGCTCTTGAACCACAATCTTACTGCAACAAAAAGAACACCAATCTTAAAGACCAACAGATAAGCAGACACCCTGCTGAAGTAGCTGCATCTAAGATGATCAAGAGGTGCTAACATCAGTGAGGACAGAATCTTCTGAATACTTGAACATAGTTACATCTATAAAACCAGACCCCCCCAAATACCTCCCCCAAAAAACTTATTTTAAAAAAGGCATTTGCTTTAAGGTTATAATACAATACACATCAAGCCTGAAAAAGAATCTGTTTTAATAATGCATTATTCCCTCCAGCAGTCCTCAATGTAGTGTGGGGTTATGTTTTGCAAACACCTTTAAAACTTTGTTTTTGAATATCCCACTTCACTTTTGGATAAGTGAATACAGCATGTATATTAACACAAAATGGTGACAAATAAAGTTTTAGAAGGCAAATATAAAATTTAACAACAAAATGGGTTTCTTCTGCATTGCCCCTTCTACTACATATACTCATCAAGTAACAAAAATTAACCCACATTCCTCCCTAATAGTTAATGCCCAACTAAGAGGCACAATAAGCACTCATTTATAGGAAATTATCAATATGGATATCAAAGAGCATAATGCAGCCAAAGTTGTACATTCTACTGTCCAATGAAAATCAATGGAAAATTAAAGCACATGATTAAAATCAATAGTATACACAGGCACTAAACTTCACCTTGATCATGCTTTAAAACAGTTACAGTTTTGGAACTGGCTGCATTAGATTGCTTTTATAATTGGTCTGCACTTGGATATAGACTACAAACTTTAACTTGTAGTCATAGAAGATGTTTGGTGGTGAGGAACTGCCAAAAAAGGTCTCTGGAGTTGCACCCACAGTGAATATTACAGATGCCAAATTGTAACAGGTATAACCTGCTGAATGCCATCTTTACAGAGCTTATCTGAGCAACAGAACCACCAAAACTCATTCCCAACCATAAACATTTTCATGTCTTTAGTAAAATTTTATTTTTAAAAGTTCGCACTGCTGTAGCATAGCAACCAACACTTCTGTCATTGCTCATTCGCAATCAGGACAACTTCCATTGCAATACTGAATTAACCATTTAATGAGTATAATTACTTGAGACTATCTGCAGCAAACTGATACATTTTCCAATTATACCTGTCTAAATTGTAGACAGCCTTTTGTAGCTTCAACAGTTATGTACTCACAAAGAGCTACCTTCCTAACTACAAACCATTTAGACTTTCACTGTGCATTGCAAAAACAACCCACACACCCACAAATGGGAGCCATTAATACCAAAGAAATACACCTAAGGCAGAAAAAGCAGAACTACAAACTACATGCTACCAGCAATTTATTATAAACACCTTTTTAAAAGGAAAATAAAAAGATCCATCAATCACAAACTTTAGCAGCAGGCAAGTCCCCCCCTCCCCTTTTGGGGAAAGTATGCAATATAACCTTTTATTTAGCTATGATTAGAGAGCGGTCGTTTATTATAATGCAGAAACTGTACCAGTTTTCCATTGCTCCATCTGCTGGATGTCTGTACAACGCTAACAACTAACTCCCAGCACTGAGGAGGGGGGCGGGAATAAAACAATTCAGCAGGTGGCTTCAGCAATCTTTGGATACCTTGTGTCCAACTTATTACTAAATATTTGCCTAGCATTTTTAAATTAAAGAAAAAAGGACTTAACATTTTCTGTAAAAACAGTCTCAGGGAAGCAGAGATTTCAGTTAGCATAATCTGCATAGAGAGCACTATAGAAGACACGCAGCCTTTTACTATAACCCAAAGCAAGCGAAATGATCTTTTAAAAATAACACATGTCTTTTGGCAAGTTTTTTTTTACACGAGGCGCATCAAAACAAACCTTCAAAAACCGTTACAGGTTTTTAATACGATGCATTCAAAGCGAAAGTGTGTTTACCTAACGGCATTTTCTTTCAAATCCTGGATCCATGCAAGCCTGGAAAAAGAAGCCTTTTACTTAAAACTGCAGGATTTTCATCACTTGACTGCTGAGGTGTCTGTCAGGCAGTTGAGGGCTTGGGAGGCGAGGGCGGTGAAAGTTAAGGTACAAAATCGCCTCGCCTCCCGGGATCGAGAGGCAGCCAGCAAGGACAAACTTGGCCTCTCCTCCTGCAGCTTCAAAACTTGCTTACCTACCCAGCTCAACTCTTTCTACGGAGCAAAATAAGCGACGAGGAAAACCTGACGCCTCGAAGCCCCGTTATTGAAACGAGGCGTCTATGTAATCGCGGGCTCGAGCGGCTCCTATAACGGAGGAGGGTCTTGGCTCCTCCTCGAGCCCGAACGCCCTCACCTCGGGCAGTCGCGCCCATCTGGGAAAGCGGGGCGGGGAGGGGGAAGGAGGAGGAGGAGGAGGAGGAGGGAAGGGGGGGGGGAGAGCTGTCACCGCCATGTGTGAGGCAAAGTTTGACACACAAACGGGAGGGGAGGAGGAAGGGAGGAGGGGGGCGGGAGGAAAGATAACACCAGCTCCGTCGTCCCGCGCGCCCTTCCACAACAGGCGAAGCCCGAAAGAGGAGCGTACCTGGGTGTCCTCGGTCCTCAGGGCAGGCAAAGTGACGCCCACCTTCGCGGAATGGCGACAGCCGGGGCTCCTGCAAGGCAGCGCGGCGGGAGCCACAACCACAGGGGCTGGCAGGTGGAGGCTGCCGGCGGCGGCGGCGGCGAGCAACACGTTTGCGTCGAACTTCGCCGCGTCTGTCACGCCGAAGAGCAGCAGCAGTAGTAAAGCCCGGCCAGCGTCGCCGTCCGATCCTATGGCTTTGCGCGAGCGCGCCCCCCTCCCCAAAGACGCGGCTCTCCTCAGGCTTGCTTCTTGGCGCCAAGATTAGATTTTCCTCTCACACAGACAGTTCTTTCTCGCGCGCGCCCTCAGTTCCTGCCGCGGCTCTCCCGCCCACCTCAGTCAGTCCCGCCAGCTTGCTCCGTGCTCGCCCGCAGCTTCGGTGGCCGGCGTCAGCTGCCCTTCCCCAGGGCGGGGAGGGCGAGGTGGGAAACCGAGGGGTAAAAAGGAAGCGACTGTGGTGGCGGCTAAGGAGCGAAAGGGCTCGGCCGCAGGCGGAGGACGAGCAGCGTGGCTTAGGCAGCAGCAGCAGCAGCAGCAGCTCCTTCCAGGTGCCTGTGAGGGGAGGGCAGCCGCTCTCGCAGCACCCTAGGGCTGAGCGGACAAGGCGAGACACGCGCGCAGTCTGCGGATGGAACCGGCGTGGAGCGAGCGGCTTCTACGGTCTGCTACAGCCTCCCAAGGCTGCTGGTTGCAGCTTCTCTTTCCCCTGCTCCTCCTCCTCCCCCTCCTAGCCGGCAAGCTCCAGGCTGCCGCTGGTCTTTGCCGCTTCCCTCATTAACCTCCTCAGGAGGAGCGCTCCCACCAGAACGCCCTTTAGTCGCGGAGGAGGCGAGTTTGCAATTGTTAATGGAGGGGTTTTAGTGCCGTGCCGGCAGGGATTCTCTCGCGCTCCTCGCTCCCTCACGTGCCTTAAAGGTACACCACTGTTTCACTCCTCGGCTTGGCGCGTAACGCTCGTGAACGGGGCACATAAACCCTCGTCTGGAGCGGACGGGGAGGGGGCACGTGACCGCGGAGCGGGCTCTCTCTCTCTCTCTTGGCGTCAAGGAGCGCCGCTTGGAGAATGGCAATGAGGAAGGGGGCGGGGCTTCGGAGCCGAGGCCAGCAGGTGTCAATGGAGTCAAGGGGAAAGAGGAACCTGTTCCAGAGGAGCCGGTGGAATGGCAAGGAGAGGGAGAAAAGGAGGTGGGAAGGGAAAGGGATGACTGATACTCGTGCAAACGGGTCGTGGGCAAGAACGGAGAAGCCTCGGTGGTGGAATGGCACTTCTCCTCTTAGAGTAGTGGGGGCGGGGTGGCAGCACTGGCAGGCATCTGGTTTCGTTTAAGACAAGAGGCAGGCATAATGAGGGAACTGATGTAGTAATGGGGTAGACCAGATCATTTAAAAGAGTAAGTAGGCTGACAAAAAAAGATGTATGGGAGGAATGGCAATGGTGATTAAAAGGAAATAGAGTGTAGAACAAGGAGGAAAAAAGGAGCAAGTGGGAGATATTCAGCATAGAATGTCCACAGCTGGTAGGTTGGTTCAAAGGCGAGATGGAAGGGGCTATGGAGAAGGGTTGGGGGAAGAGAGAAATGGAGCATACCATGGGGTTAGGAGAATGAAAAGTGGGGGCAGCGGAGTGTCATTTCACATAATCATGAAAGAATGCATAACAGGAAGAGATTGCGGAAGGGACATGGGAGTATGAAAATGTGACATATCAGGTATTAAATGGAATACTAACTAATTTATACTAAGGTAAGTATGGAAATAGTCAAATATGACTCATGCTAACTTCCCTAAGAAGAAGCTGAGTTGTAATACAGTGCCTAGTGCCTGGAAGCTGCCTTCCGGGGTTACTGAGAGGAATAACACAACCCTATCCAATTATTCTCCCACCATTGACTTTAGCAGGACTTAATCCCAGGTAACCATGGAAGGTGTTGCAGGCTTACTGAACCAGCTTTCTGTAAAAGAGCTCAGTCCTGAAATTTGTGAAGTAATAACAAATTTCATTTTCCTCACTTCTAAGCAATAATGACCAGCTCTTGGTTATCAAAAACAGCAGTGGCTGCAATCCTGAATGCACTTTACTGGGCAGTAAGCCCCTTTGAAAACAATGGGATTCAGTGTGCATGAGTGAACATACATAGGATTGCATTGTATAACAGTTGCAGTGTGGCATGAAGTTTCATGGAACAGAGCCTACTGATAGATGCAAGAAATGCAATATTCAGTGGGCAGATAATATATACAAGTTTATAGCTATGAAACAGTAGGACCAAAAGTCTATGAAATGCAAACGTCCAGGAGGTCTGTGAAATTTCTGTGCAAATTCTGTGATATTTCTGTGCAAATGTCACTTCTTATCTTGTATACATCTGGGCTTTGCAAAGAGGTATCACAAACCTAGTATTTCCATTTTTTCTTTGTACCCATATGTATATATTTGCCAAGAAGGCATACCCTCGGAAAGGACACCCAGGAATATTTGAGGCTGGCAGCTCACACTTCAGAAATTAAGCACAAAGAAACTAAAATCAATACATTTCAAAATGTGTTGTATATTAAGAAGGGCTCTAAACACAGTGGACACATTTTAAATGACTTGATTCAGCTTTATGCATATGTGACACAAAACAAACATAATTGGCAATAACCCTCCACACACAGACTTCTCTGGAAAGGCACTCTAAGATAACCTTAAAGGAAAAAAGAGAATAATTACTAGACAAGGACATCCAACAACAGCAACAAAAAGACTTCTGTAATATGACTAATGTTCTTGTCTTCTGTTTTTTGTTATACTGTAGTGATAGTGTGTACCAAAAATGAAACAAAATGTTAAAGTAGGGGGAAATGGGCTTGAAAAAGAGCTATAGTATACACTGAATAGCATATGCTGACTATTTTATACCCAAATTGTCAAACATGAATTTTAAATTTCTAGCTCTTGTTCCGATCCTCTTCAACCAGGTGTTGCAAGACTTGCGTAAAGGAAAATGAGAAAACTGAAGAAACAGTGCTTGAAGTGAGTCTGGGGACTGAGTCCTCTGGAGGCACTGCAGAAGACAAAAGTCTTCCAGGATTGCAGTGCCCATTTGTTTGATAGGATTGGCAGAAAAGTGTACTTGGCTTTGGATGGAATTACATAATATGATGCACCCTGAGCTTGTGCTTTCATCTCTCTTCTCCAAGAATAAAGGTGGGTTTATCTTCCTTTTTTTTCCTAGGAAAGGTGAGGAACAAGGACAAACTGCCTGTGCCTTCTGGCTGAAGTTTTTTTCACAGAGTTCATGGAGAGAGGTATATATTCTGATAGTGAGCAACAGGCACATTCTTCAAAGGTAATTTTATGCTCATTTTTACATGTATTTTTTCTTATGAATCCATAAGATCGAACTGTGAGCTTCTTCCTCTTCACATTCCCACTTTTGGGTCACTGTATGGTATTTTCTTTCCAATCTGGAGTTCTGACTGCTAACTGGTATTTGCAAACAAAATTCTAAACCTTGATGGAAAGCGTAAAGTGATCAAACAGGCATTTAGAAACATATAAACAGAAAAGAAAGACAAATAGATATGTGCTAGCATATCTGGAAGGAAAGCATCATTATTAAAAGAAAAAAGAAAAACCTGAAACATTACCCTACCCATCACGCACATAGAAAATTTAAGTCCTCCCCCCAAAATTATAATGTATAGTTTGTTTGTTTTTTTTACTATTCTATTACTTTACAAATAAAGAAAACTCAAATTTAAGGGAAGATGTTAATGCAACTAGGCTGTACAACTACTGGCCTGTGATATATAGTTACATATGTAGTTTGTCTGCAAGTTGAAATCAAGAGAGATCTATGGCAGTGAATGGTTTGTCAAGGCTTTATGTTTCCTGCTGCTCATGTGAGCCACACAACAAACAGGATTTATTTCACTTCTGATTTGCAAAATGTGAAAATTGACCAGGGAACCATTTGCTGGATTTTCAGAGCCACTGAAGCCCAACTGCAGTAGCCTCAGTAAGTCTTACTGAGGCATTTCCTCAGTGCTGGTGCACATCTTTCAGCAACTCAGGAAGAGGGAAAACCCTTACCCTGTTGTTGCTTGAATAAAGATGCAAAAAGAAAGTGAAAAACTGTTCCTATTTTTTCTTGTCTTAAATTATATTACCATTATTTATCAGTTGAGAAGTAAAAAACAAAAACCTTTTGACTTTTTTCCTCAAGCAGACATATACTCAAGATTATTATAGTGCAAGGATGGACTTTTTGCTCTCCTAAATGAGATTAGATAAAGAATCACTAGCCTCTGTGGGAGAACATTCAGCACATTTAGTACAACGTAACTGCAGCCCTTTTGTAACACTTCCAGACCAAAGGGATGGAATGCACAATCCACAAACATTTTTTCACAGCTATATTTTTCTGTTCTTGTGATACACAGATAAAGACTTAACAAATGTTCCTATGGATTAATATTAGTTTGGTAGCAACTGCTGCAGCATTATGAGATGCTGCATGGGAAATGTGAAGAATTATTTTATTCACATAGATTCACATTTCTCAGCAGAGTACTAGATGGTTCTCTGCATTAGAACTTTGTAACCACTGTAGTCAAATAATAACAAACTGGAAAGATAAGTGCATGTTTTCTTCTCCATGATAAAGCACATTCTCAAATACAAAAACCCATTTGTTTCCAAAGAGCAGATCAATTGTTGGCTTTGTTTTGAAGCATCTATTAAAGAAGGCATTCCAAATGAAAGCAGTTCATGGTCTTAACATCCTTAGAAATCACTTCTCAAAGGTGATTGCTGTACTTGTCAATCCTTGTGGTCACTGCCACTTAAGGACAAAAACCCCTTTGGATTCAGCCAGTTTTCTTCAGGCATGGAGAAGAACAGTAGGTAACAAAAGTGTGTCACATACTTCTTTTTTTAAAACCTATTTATGTTGTTCTAACTGGTTTATTTAAATTAGTGAAATGTTCATCTTTGATGCTAATCCTATTAGACTTCAAGGTAAATTAGAGAAGAAAATGTCAGTGGTCTTCAAATTCTTATAATTACTGTTTATTGCATACTAACTTGACACCTGCGTTTCCACATACCTTATGAAAGATACACTGATAAGAAAGAACACACTTGTTATATTTGCTGTAAGACAATACAAACACTAGGTTACCTTTTCTACATAGAACAAATCACTTCCAGCCAATAAGATAGGAACAAGAATGAACAGCACAATCCAAACCCCTGGTCCACTATGCTAGAATGAGATTTAGGTGAGGCAAAGTTGTCCCCCTGCTCAGCTCTGTCTGGGTTGCCTTTTTCACCAGCCAGTGGCAAGGAAGCTTCTGTCACCTCAGTTCTCTGGAATGTGCCTATCCAAACTGCCGGTGGTGGAAGCAGTATATCAAATCATTCTGGTCCCGTTTGCTTCACCAGCCAGGGAGTCAGCATAGCAAAAACACAAGACATACCAGCCTTCCCCCAACTGCTGTTAAATATATATTTACTGGAGGCATAAAAGAAGCTGTTTAGAGAACCATTTTGCCCTTTAGGGTTGCAACACAATGGAGATTTAATTGGGACTAAGCACCATTGAATGCTGTGGGAATTAATTCCACATAAATAAGTATGGGGTTGGGCTGCATGCAAGAGGCACAGAAGGAAGAAGAACAGAAGGAAGGAGAAAGGAGAAAGGAAAGTGGATAAGGAAGGTTAACGGCTCATGAAACAAACATGGAGCACTTGTAAGATTTTTTTAGGGAAACTGCATTTGCAAATAACACTAAGCTGTGTTTTATTTTCACCATGGAACAAATCGAGACGCTTGGGAACATAATAAGAGGCCTGTTAGATCAGGTCAAAGGCCTACCTAGTCTAGCATTCTATTCTCAAAGTAGCCAACCAGATGCCTCTGAGAAGACCACAAGCAGGACAAGAGCACAACAGTTCTTCTCTACATCAAGTTGCATTTAGAAGCATGGCATCTCCAAAACAGGAGGCAGGGTACAGTCGTCATGTCTAATAGCTATTGATAGTCTTATACTCCAAGGATTCCCCCCCCCATCCCCTTTAAAGCCATCCAAGTTGGTGGCTATTTAGTCCTCTCTTGGGGGAGTAAGTTATTTATTTTAATTATGTGCTGTATGAAGAGGTAGTTCCTTTTATCTGGCCTACATTTTCCCATGCTTAGCTTCATTGGATGATCCCAAGTTCTACTTTCATGAAAGAGGGACAAACACTCCACTTTTTCTGCAACATGCATACTTTTATGCACCTCTATGATGTTCTCTCCCCACCCACCTTCCTTGCCTTTCCCTCCCTAAGCTTAAAAAGCGCAAAATGCTGTAACCTTTTGGGGGTTCCTTCATACATATTTTGATTGCTCTTTTCTTATCCTTTTCCAGCTCCACAATATTCATTCTGAGATGCAACAATGAGAATGGGACACAGTATTCCAAGCATGGTCACACCATAGATTTGTATAGCAGCATTATGATTTTGACAGTTTCATTTCATTTCCATGCCAATTGCTTCCTCATTAATTGCAACCCCATTAACCTGGAAAATCATGGGAATTTTGCACTGTTATTTTACTGCAGTTTGCATGCATCAGAGCATGCAGTAGTATTTGGGGTCATATTCTAGCAAAAAGTTCTTTCCTGCCATTTTCTTGGGTGACTCATGGGAGAACAGAAGCATGCAGGTGCATAAAGGGGCATGAAATGTTCAGTTGTGTAGTACCACACTTACTTACATGAATGGAATTAAGTGACATAGTGGTATGTCATTAGAAAAAGCCACAGTTCCATAATGCAACAATGTGGTATGTCATTTTAGTGGGTGAAACTTAATTGACCTTGATGGCACTTTGCCTGATTTGCAGTATATGTCCACTATAAGAGTTTTGACCCTCTTCCTTTTCAGCTTTTTACCATTCCCCTCATTTTTGATAAAGTATCATCTTTGGGAGTCAAATGTGATTGTGTTGAATTTTCTTGACAATTGTTCACTTACATGTATGTTGAATTTGATAGCACAGTGGTATTTGAAAGCACTGTTTCTGTTCATTCAACAAAACTTATATCTCACACTAGGTCCTGGACACCGCTGTAGAATAAGTCCAGGGTCCCCTCACTTTGGATTGCTTCCAATACTTTTCACAGCACGGCAAGTATGAAAGGTGAGTTCATTTTGTATTTGTCTCCCCACCCCTTCACCCCCCACCTATATCAGCTTGCTCTGGAAATTGGTCAGATATTGTTCATTTTAATCACCTGAAATCCTTACTGAATTCAATGAATTCAACCTCTTTCCTCAGGTAAAGCAACTATATATTTTTTTCTCCTGGGAGTGTTGAGAAATTAGGGTTAAGAACACAAAGAGGTGAGAGCAGGTGGCTGGAGCAAAGAAAAGTGGAAAAAATCACAAAGGGCCCAAAAGAAAAAGAACAACAGAAGAAAAGATGAAGAGAGTCAAAGCCAGGCTAAGTAAGGATCTGCTGGTTTCAAAATGCTGTGAATTGCTTTATTGAGTTGCTTGTAGTTGCCTCCTTCAATTTTTATTCATTTTTCAGTTCTTCTGTACTTAATAACCATATATTAAAATTCAAACATTAATTATTTTTAAGACTGAAACATCAAATAGAAAGGGTAAAAGAACTCTCTGAAATGTACTTTATATTAGGTTTCTGTAGACTGAAGCATTTTGTATTTTCTTTTAAAAAAGCATTTTCTGCACCTGCCTCTATGTTACAATTATCCTTCCCCTTTCTGCTTTGAAAGATTCATGTTTTTTGTAGCCTGCTGCATATTTTGTTAACCAACACTTAAAGCACTCGTTCTCATCCCTATTTACAGTATGATGCCAGCATGTTTAAACCGCATACCCTACGAGTGTGTGATTCTATAGAGACATTCCAGGAATGAAGTAATCAAATATGGTTATATCCCATCTTTATTTGAATGGGCTTTTATTACAGAGGTAAATAACCCAAAATTTAGCCACTGTATTGGGTCTAGTATTGAAGCAGATAGCACAGTAAAGTCAGGTATTTTTGTATCCTTTCAGCGTCATTATTTTGATCTGAAGAACCCTGCCACTCACACCTTGCTTACGGTATTTCAGCAACCAGGTAAGGAAGAAATATGTGAAGGAAAAGCATACCCACCAAACTCAGAAGGAGGTGAATTTTCTGGAGTAGTCTCTGGACCTAAAGAAGGAAACAGGTACTGAAAAAAATACAGGGCTCATGAGAACATCAGAAAAGCCATCAGTTGTCCAGCATCCTGTTCTCACAGTGGTCAGTGACATGTGGCATGCCCACCAGCAGAACCTGAGAGCAAAAATACTCTGCCGCATGTGATTCCCAGCAACTGGTATTCAGAGGCATACTATTTCTGACAGTGGAAGTACAACATAGTCATTGTGGCTAGTAACCACTGTTGGACAGCCTTGACAATCAAATGTACATGTATTTTATGTCTTATATTTTGTTTTCTATTTTTTATTGTACCTTGTCCAGAGAACTATGTCTTTAACCGTGCTGTATTACTGCTTTGAAAGGAAAGATGATGTTTATGTCAGCCTTGTTGTGGTAGATTGCGGTTGAGGCTTCGCTTAGCAGGGTTTATGTATTGCAAAGGATTAATGGGCAGTCAGTGGGAGAGGTGTATAGTGGAACCACAGAGGTTTCAATCCCAGTGAGGAGAAAGAAATGCCTTTCCTTCTTGAAAAGGCAAAATACCTCGCTACAGGCTTCTCTGCATCCTCTCCTTCACTACACAGTTAATTCTGCTACTGCCTGGCAGTATTGCTACACATATAATTACAGCCATGCTAAAACTGACCTAAGAGACTGCCAGCTCTTAGCAATTTACATTGTAACAAAAATTGATCCATTTAATTATTGCTTTCGTTTCTGTGTTTTTATCCAGCTCTTAATATAAAAAACCTTATTTCCATTTCACATGATTGACACCCCAATCTTAAACTTATTCCTGGCTGTCATTTAGCAGGGAATTTTGTTATTATGTTGGCTTATTATTTATGGTCTTCTTCAGGGTTTTTTTTTTTAACTATGCAAGAATATGTAAAAGTGCATTTTTAAAAGTCTTCGAAGGATCCTACAAAATTACAACCGTAAAATATTTGAATAATTAAATATATTTTCCAACAGACATTATGTCCTGGTGCCATATCATCCAATCCTGAAATTAATTCTGTATTGGGCTTTAACAGCAAATATCCCACACTGAAAATAGGGCAGGTAATGCACTTTTTATCAGCATCTTCCCCCTTTAAAACTGGGAGAGCACCATTGCATAAGAAATGCAGAAGGAATGAAAGGGCAGTGATATTTGCTGAAGCCCAGAGTATTTCAGTTCAAACCTTGGTCTCCACAGTAAGCCATTTTTTGGTACCTACGAGCTAAGGCCAATAGAATACAAGGGCGGGAACACTAATCAACAGTACTTCCTCCCCCAGGAGCTGGTAGAACAAAGCTATTTGAGCTTGCTGGTCAGTCACCTCCATGTGTGGCTGATGTGAGTCATAGGACTTAACGGAGCAGGGAAGACCTTGATGGATTCAGCAGCTGGTTGTACCTATATAGGGACCCTGTCCATAGTTTGGCATTGTTTGTCCAACATTTTAGTTGAAGAGCTGGACCTTCCCCATTTCTATGAAGGTAGGTGTGTATGCGGTTCCATCTTGTAGGACTGTAGCCATGGGCATCTGAAGAAAGAAAGCTTAGGTTTACAGACAAATAATGGCTTGCTGCTATGGAGGTTCATAAATTTAGAACTTTTAAAGAACATAGAAAATATATATCATAACTTCTAGAGGACTCTAGAATTCATTTATAAAATCCTAACAATTGCCATCTATTGCACAATAGCCAGAGGCTTTGAAGGAATTCAGAGGAATGTTCTAATCTGTATTGCACTGTATTTCACTGGAGAAGTCTGAAATAACTTGCTATATCCCTGAATTTATTTCAGTGTTGTTTTTGTGTGACTATTTGGTAACCGAAATACATACGGCAGAGTATCACATCTTATCTCCTTCAGATCCCCTGTCAGATATTTTATTTATTTTTCTCTTAGCAGCTTAAATTCTCTCCAACAATATTGTCTTAACTTGTGCTGCTCTCTACCTATTTTACCTGAAGTCATAATGCTTCATCTGAGACATCCAAATTTGTTTCTACAGCAACCATTGTGATAAGAGAGAATAGATACTTCAAAAGTGAAGAAAGAGGCATGAAAACCTAACCTGCTAAGCAAATTCCCTGCTTCCACACAATAAGAAAAACACAACATATTGAAAAGAAGAGTTGTGACATAAGATTGGATTTCCAGATTTTTTTAACCTCCTGACAAGCTATCAATGCTATTTCCTGATAAAATATTAAAGCCTAATAGTTTGATATATATTTCACTAGTTCATTCATTGCTGATATTGTCTCTGATCCAGTGGACCATATATTTAATTCCATACATATGGAGCATTATCTGAAGCTTCCCTTTGAAATATAGTTGCCTTCACTGTCCAAGAAGCTGCTCCTAAAATGTGGGTCCACCTTGAGAACAGCATCCAACATGAGGCCAAAAATGTTGACCTTCTCCAAAAACATGTCAGCTGTTGTGCAGATATGAGGAACACCATGGTTAAGCACTGCATGCATATGAAAAGCTATTAGATCTGTGTGGCTGCCCTTTGTGGTGACCCACTGAACTGCAGCTCGTCAGTGAAGAGTGCTGTCCACCCACGCTGACCATTGGACCCTTCTAGGCAGGAAGGAATACTAAAGAGTTGTTTCTCCAAATTAAATATGCTTGAGCAACAAAGTCTTCCTAGGCACTGGTATCTTCACTATTATTTGGTCCCAACTCCTGGTTTGTTCCTTTATCACACTTCTTGGTTTGTCCTTCATTTAATATTTAAGAACATGAAAGGCAGATCAAGGCAGATAACAAAGGCAAAACAATAACTTAAAACCTGAAAATATAAATTATAAGCTAACTAAAGCAACTGCAGAAATTAAATAAATACAGCAGCAAAATCATGAAAACCAAAACAATAATTTACAACCTGAAATTCAATTAATGTTTTACTCTTCTTTATTTGGAGCCTCAAAAGCCAGTGGTCCAGGCCTCTCTAGGTCTCTGAGAAGGCTTGGGTTCACAGCTTTCTGTGAATGAGACAGAAAGGAGAGATAGAATTGAGTGTCTTCTATGTACAGTGGTACCTCGGGTTACATACGCTTCAGGTTACAGACTCCGCTAACCCAGAAATAGTACCTTGGGTTAAGAACTTTGCTTCAGGATGAGGACAGAAATTGTGCTCCGGTGGCGTGGCAGCAGCAGGAGGCCCCATTAGCTAAAGTGGTGCTTCAGGTTAAGAACAGTTTCAGGTTAAGAACGGACCTCCGGAACGAATTAAGTACTTAACCCGAGGTACCACTGTATTGGTGACAGAACCCCAAGCCCAGAATGTCCTACCCAAACAACTTTATATAGATAAACAGCATGGTGGCCATACTGGTCCTGAGGGACAGCATAGGCTCACTACCAAGGCATGGAATAGAGCCGCCCACCCCAAATTGGTAACGCTATGGCCCCCAGTCCTATTACATGAGTCCCACTCCTTGCCTTCTAGTTTGTTGTTTGATCTGAAGGGTCCTGACTACTGACTCACCTCAGTCTGCTATTGTATACGCAGTGCTGACAGTGAATGACCATAGTTTGCCCATACTCTTTTGTCTTCCTCCAGCACAGCTGAAAGACGATTTTGGAAGCTTTGCCCTTTGCAGTTAGTAAACCCCATGGCACCTGAACTGGGGATTACAGTATAATATTAAAGTATGGTTAGTTTCAAATTACCAGCCATAGTCCATGGTTTGCTGTTGGATTGTTTTTCTAGAGAAGAAAATGCAGGTACTGTTGAACATACCTTGATCATAGGCAGGTTGGGCTACTGTTCTTTTTTTGATCTTCATGTGATTTCAGTTCAGAGTTCTGGTTATCTCCTCTAAAGCCAAACATGATTTGGGAACATGGGAACTAGCTGCTGCTACATGATCTTACCTTCCTCTTAGGCTCTGCTTCACATCCTGCTACTCTTTATGTGTAGCTGGTGGGAATGCGGCAGAATCAAGCCCTCTTAGCTGCAGCATAAATAGCCCTTTCTGTTAAAGGCCACATACCAATTAATTTTCTATTTCTATTTTTTATTTTTTTGCTTTAAAAATAAAATTTCCTGAAGATAGACTCCACTGTCAAAGAATCTGCTTCTCTGTAAAGATTTGAGAGGTAATACAGGGTTAACAAACTACAATACAAGCTTTTGAACATGCACTTTGAAAAGTTAAATTCAACAAATTGGTTAGCTGACTTCTTTGAAGAAAAATAGCCTCTCACATTTTATGTGTTCCAGTATTGTTTAATATGCTATACATTGCTCATTCTTAGTCACAGTTCTGAAAAAAGAAAATACAGTAGTGCAATATTAAATGATTTCTGCTAAATTTTATTCCACCCTGATCAAATTTTGGACACTGTCATTAGTGTTCTGGAGCAGGATTTTGTTGTTATTTTTGTTTAGGTTATTTTTGCACCTTGTAACCTTTCTTATAACCTTGGGCCTAAATAAGCTCATTAAAAATTAAATTGCTTATTATACCCTAGCATCAATTTCCACTTTGATCAGAAAGCACAATAGCTTTCTTGAGTAGATTTACCTATGAAATATTCTGGTAATGAGAAGAGATGAGACAAGTTTAACAATTTCAATGCCAAAGCAAAAACTACAGAAATATAAATGAAACAATTGAATATCTATGGAATAAACACTGTAGCACTAGCCATGAAAAATAGACTTTAATTTAAACAGGAGGTACTTAATTCATATTTCTTTGCATGTTAATAGCTACTTTTTCCTCATAAATTTCAAAAAATGCATCATGTACTTTATATTTTTGATCTGAACAATGAAATTAGTTTCATGTAATAAACAGCTTGTGTTATTATTTGACTGTTTTTCATACTTGTCTTTTAATTGTTACCCAATATGTCCATGTGTATAGGTTCTACAATATTTTGGGCAAGCGATATTCATATATCTGGTGGCAATATTAGCAGAAAGTAAAATGCTTATATCTTACGTAACAGCTTATTGACATTCACACAGTGAAAGTTTGCACATGCCTACTCAAAAGTAAATCCTATTTTTTTCCAATGGGATTTTCCCCCAGGCAAGGGTATATAGGATTTAAGGCAGAGGCAGCAATTCTGTGCACAGTTACTTTGGAATAAGCACCATAAACACAATGGCCTGAATAAACATGTGTAAGATTACATTGCCATGTATTATTCTAGTTTAATTAGATCAGCTATACTAGTCAGAAAACTGCTAGTCATGCCTTTCTCAAAAAAATTGTTGATGTTACCTCATTCTTTCTTGCTTTACTTGAAACACTTCAGATGTTATTCAAGCCAGGCATTCAGAATCTGGTGACACTGTTCAGAAAATGCGGAGCTACCAATTCAACAACAAAACCATTACCTCAGTAAAACTTCCAAATGGGTTATAATCTTCCTACTTGCCTATGTGCTTTTTAAAAGTCTATCCACACTCTGTTCTCAATGTATATATGGTCCACTCATACATTACACATATAAACCCCATGTGTTCATAACTTGCAATAGAGAACAACTGGCATTTGTCAAGGCAAGCCATGATGTCTTAATAGATGTTTGATTTGTGAATTGTAAAATTAGAGGAAAACACCTTTGCCACCCGCGCAATTTGTTTGATCCATGGTCCACTGCATTTGTCACACAAATGCAGTCAAATCCATTTCTGTATAGTTTCTTTGACATGGAACTATCCCAGGAATTCATTTGGTCTACACTGTTGGACAGGTTTCCAAAGTGAATTGCTTAGTTTTTAGAAAGATCATGTAGAAAAGAGAAAAAAATACTGCATTCCAAGGACAAGTTAGAATTATACACAAATAGCTACTGACAAACTGATGCATCTCTTTGGCCGCTCTTCTCTTATCTGCCACTCTCATCACCTACCTGGTAGAGCCAGCTTTTTGACTATTAGAAAACCAAAACTGAACACACAGTTCTGATATTCCTCTTTATGCCATCATTACCTTCACAATGACTTTTCTGGGCTTCTCTTCCCCTCTGGACATGCTTTTTATCCACTGAGTTCAAGCCATTTCCCACCACTCCAGGTAGCAACATAAATATGCGAAAGGTTTGTACCACTTCCACCTTTCAGAAGATAATGAAAAATATCAATGGGAATTGGGATTATATATATATATATATAACTTCTTGGATTTCTTTTCAACATTGGCAGCAGCAAAAGGTTATTAATAAACTAGATCAGATCTTAAGTGTTAGCACTTGTGCCTTGACCATTTATGGCTGCTCTCACATTGAAAGAGCCAGATGGAGTCAGGGAATTACTCTGCAGATGTTCCCCTCTGCTCTCCTCTAATGCCACCTTAAAGGAATTTCCCAGTGCAAAGCTTTGTACACACTAATGACTTCATTTGAGGGGTGAGAGGACAGGGTTAAATCCTGTGTGTGCAGCAGGTGTTAACCCCTACTCCTTAGGTGATGAGGACGAGTTTCCTTCTGTTCACGGAACAAGTTCACACACTCAAAGAAAGCCTGTAAAATGCACACTTCTTTCTGACACTTCCTGCAGCAGGAGGTGGAGGGTGAAGAGGAGAAGGAGCTTTGTGCTGCTGCAGGTAGGAGAATAAAGAAGCCTGCATTTCCTAGCTGCTAGGGAACAGCTGTAGAGCATCTGCTTTGTCTGGAGAAGATGCCAGCCCCAGCCCCAGCATGCCTTGGGAATGTCCTCTGTCTAAAACCTTCAAGAACAATTACCTGTCAATTTAGACCCAAACTGGGCAATGTGGTACCCTGCAGATGTTGTTGGACCATAGCTCCCATCATTCCTGAGCATTGACCATGCTGACTGGGACAAATCGTAGTTGTGGTCCATCAGGAGGAAACCACATTGGTTATCCCTGACACAGACAACACTGGCACAAATATTGAATGGACCAATTTTTTTGACTTGGTAGAAGGCAGCTTATTTAAAGTGTAGGTATAACTGTCACAGATCAAGTAACATAGGTATAAACACCACAAGTGAGGCTGAATTAATAACTTATAGAAAGAAAAAAGGCTGTGCCTGTTTCTTCCCTGGGAAAGGCTTAATTATAACTGGCCAAATTGCTTTTAAATACAATCTCCTGGCATAACAGTGTAAGGGACAGGTGTAAATTCTAGTATACACCATGCAGAGGGAAGGAAATGGCATGGGATAGTTGCTCTCCTTTGGCTGCCATTGCCCAGGACAGCAGCCACTAACTCATCGGTAGTTGTCAATTCTCCCAGTAAAGAAAGTGTAGTCCTTTTGAACCTCTTGGTTCAGGCTGATTCCTGCTTGGCTTTGCCTCCCTGTGCATGTTCCTGTTTGAAATGCTGCTACCTGCTGCTCTTCAGGCTTGATTAGGGAGTGAGTGGAAACAGCTGCTAGTGGCACCAACCCTGCCTCCCTCTGTATGCCACCATCCAATTTCTTTATAGATAAGTCAGCCAATTCCATTAATTATTGAAAAGCATTATACTATCTTGAGGCAGAAGGAGGGTACCTAAACATACATATGCTGGCTCCAAAAATTATCTTGTTCTAACTCCGTTACACCAATCAGAGCTTTCTGTTGTACTGCTCTTTTAAGCGAGTTTCCCTAATTCTGGTAGATGTTTGTTCCATAAACAGGCTGCATTCCTCTGTAGTCTCAGAAGGATGTTCCACTATGTCCAATGGGGTTTGCTGCCTAGCAAGTGTGTTTAGGATTACAGCTGTAACCTATTAATACTATAACAGTGCAACTAAATTAAAAGCTGCACTGCATCAATACAGACACATTGTGAAGGTTTTATTAAAACATGCTTCGTGTTGACTAATTAAATATAGATAGAATGTCATTTAAAAACATCCTGCTAGAAAGAATATTTGTAACAAGATGAATTAAGGAGGGTGGGGAGGCAATTTATATTCCACTGGTATGAAGGCAAATTTCTCAATTGTAGATTTTTCTGGCAACAAGTGATGCTAAAATCACAACACACTGCAAGTCAATCCAATAATCTAATTTTGGTTTTGTCTTAAAATTGTGGCATGAAGTATAAAGGTAGATCAACCTGATTCTGTCAACCTACATAAGCGCCTCTTTCAACTATCTAATTTTAGGCTATATTCCTCCAGTCTCTGTCCTCCCAAAATATGATGAATCATAGATTTTCAAAGCTCCTTGACAGCACAACCCTATGCATATGAGTTCAGAAGTAAGCCCCATTGAGTTCAGTAGTAAGGTTGTATAAAACTGCAGCCTAAGTGGGAAACTGACTACTTGGGTACTCAATTCTTCATCCTTCTGGTTGCTTAAACCAGCCACAGGTTGATTGACTGATATTAAGTAACAGGGGTAGTAAATTCTTTAAGGGCGGGTATAGTCCCAATTATCTTAAAGGAGGTGATTGTGGAAACCTTTGCTAAAGTAGCCCTTTTGATCCACTCTGTATTGAATAATTTTGAGCCAGGCTGAGCATGTGTGCCAATTCAACTCCAAGGTTTCTTTGATGATTATAAGGATTCTATATTTAGTCATTTCAATCTGATTAACCCTATAATTTTATTGAATGATGGCAAATCCCTCTCCATCTCATCTTTCTCCCACCCTAGAAATCATGCTGCCAAAATGGGAAGAGGAATCAAAAACAAACATTTCAAAAGAGCAGTTTATTACTGTAATGTAGCTATTCTATTCTATCTCATTTCAGTAGTTATATAACACAATGTTAAATCTATCAGATGAAATTACTTTTGACTTTTTAAATTATGCTGTCCCCAATTCCTTGCATTACTTTAATGTGAGAAGTTTGGGGGGGGGGGTTGGGTGTGTGGGGAGAACATGGATTTAAAATATCGTAGCATAGCACCACCTTCTTTTTCTCTTTGGTGTTTCTCCCATGTTCCTTAAGTAGGGCTTTTAGCTATACTTTTGCTTGACCAATATTTTCAATTCCCCTTGGTCTGTGAGCTTTTCTTGTTCTATAGCTACACCTTGCGAAAATTTGATCTTACCAGCTGAATCAGATCTTATCAGATGCATGAAAAATCCAAAGCGAGATTTTGCTTAACTTAGTGGGTAAGATCAGATTTTCTCAAGGCACATTCCAAAATACTTTGGGGCCCAGGGGAATTAATTGTTGCACAATATGATCAAAACAGAAGTCAAGCAAAAGGGTGGATGTGTCCTAAGTGTTGCCATAAGCAGCAGGCATCTTGATACTCTGTTAGTGAAATACTGCCAGGGGCTGCTCTTTTGCTTATATGATGCGCTGAATTGTGTTACTATGGTGATACTTAAACAAAGAGAAGAATAAATCTCAAAAGCTTGTCTTGAAACAATTTATTAAGTCACAATGCATTTCAGTTTCGCAGGTGACTCCTTTTCAAGGCCCATTGAACCAGACTGAACCAGCTAAAACAAATCTATATGGTAGCTTCCAAAGCAAATAACTGGTTCCGTTACTCCTGAAAAAGAGCTGTGAAGCTGGAAACTCTGAGCCTGAGGTGCACCTTTTAAGAGTTCTGCTTTTCTTAATTCCTGTTCTGGCACCTTCCCTTCCTATTTTTTTTTAATCTCATATGGCAAGACATGTTATATCTCACACATATGAGATCATGTATAGTGGAAAGCAGAGCTCAGAAACAGCAGTTATGGTATGTTAAATACACATGCCAAGTCACTCATTGTAACCATCTTTAAAAGGGGCATGGCCTCTTTTCCCTTAGT